CAGGAGAGAAGTGATTTCCAGCTCGATACATCATTAAACATGGACACTTGGCCGGCAACAGGAATACCCATCCACCCTTTGGCACATTTTACTCTATTCTGACATCATCAGTGCACTGAGCTATAGACTCTTTTGTTCTTTCTTACAAGCAAGGCTTCTTTGATCAACTGCAATGGCCTGCTCGCTCTCATTCTCAGTTATTTCAGATGCTGTCCTAAGAAACAGATAAGACAAATGGAAGCATAGCATGACCTGGAGACTTTTTAAAGACAGTATTAAAGAGTCCATGTTCCTCCCCAGAAGTCAGAATACAAGGGCGGTCTAATCCAAACTACTGTATTTACTCCAACAGTGACCACAAATGAAGGGAATGCATTACTGTGAAAAGTGGCCATGACAGTTATCAGAGAGTCACCAGGAGCTTCTCCTTTACTCTTTACGTAGATGAGCAGAGCATCAGCATGATGATCAACACAGGAACTGTAGTCAGCTGCACTGATGATGTCACAACTTCAAAACACAAGCAAACAGTGAGCATGTTGAAACAAAGAAACAGAAAAACCCAGACTGTCTGCAAATATAATAAAAATGTTCTGAGTGACATTAAAGGTCCTGGAGCTTCAGTTTACAGGGCTTTTATTTATTTTTTTAAGTATAAAGGCTCTGATTTGAGCCTTTAATATTCCTGTTGACTCGACCTTTGGCAACCATTAGAAATAAAGCTTTTAAATTGCGACAAGGGTTTATTTGAGGAAATATGGTAAGATATTTGTCATTTAAAATGTATAAACGCCAAAGTACCGTGTCTAGCATCGCTGCTACAGTCTTTGGTTTCAGCCTTCTTGTTCAACAAAACTGTGACTTTGGCTCGTCATGTTTTAATTTCTAAATCTCTCTTTGGTGGATTTAAATAGTCAAACTAAAACAATCCCAGTCAGCTGATAATCAGTCTCCAATCAAATGGTAAACAAGCACTGATCCACGTCTCCTCAAATTTTCAAAGTAAGAAAATTAGATTCATGTGAGTCTGGTAAAAATGATACTAAATGAAAAAAAAAAGAAAAAAAGAATTGAACGAATCTAAAAGTCCCAAGCTCAAACTCAAAAGCATGTCAGGGCTATGCGGGATGGATTTTATAGATGTTGAGCTTTCTCCTGTCTTCATAGACACTTCACATCTGTAAATGAGAAGATTAAGAATGACTGATGTGCCAATTAATACTTCTAATGTAATGGGCAGTTTTACACATGGTTATGAGATCATGGTTTCATATAGTGAGAAAACCTTAGAAGACATTTAACCATGCAGTGCAGAATGCAAAATGTTTGCATACACTCGATGCTCTAGGTTGCACTATTCGTTTAGACTCGATCTGTCACAGAGAGATACGCACTGCAGACTTTAGACTGAAGTTTGGGTAGACCAGCTCTGTGGTCCAGTACAGTTACATATGATCTTCAATCACAGGGGAATGCCGGGTCTTAGGTAATCAAGTCAACATTTCCTACATAATCCACAGCCCATCAGAGTCTTCTGTTGTCTTCTGTTGTCACAGGAAATCTCCTATGTGGGTGGAGGTCCTTCGTAGCGGAGCATGATGTTGAAGGATCGGGCAAAGTTGTTAGAGAGAGAGCAGCTATTGCCTTCATCCATGAGGGGCAGCAAGAAGGCCAGGAGCAGCAGAGCGAGGAAGAGGAGCCACAGAGGAAGAGCCAACCGACAAACCCGCTGCAGCAGTCCAGGTTTCTGCTGATAAAGAAGTAATACAGGGTTACTG